GAAATTAAGTGTTAACGAGCAGTTGGACAGGTGTATCTAATAAAGTGGCCGGTGAGTGTTTATTTGGATTCTGATCACTGGATTTCTACAGATTTGGCTTGGTGGTCTCCTGGTGTTATACAAAACAGCGTTGGTGGCTAGTCAGACCATTTCCTGGCTGTCTGACCATTATGAAGGATTACCGTGCTATCAGCACTCAGACTTTAGCCTTGTGTGAGCTGGACTTGGTCTGCAAGCGGTTCTGCTGAGGGTCACGGGCCGGCTGGTTCCTGGACTTTGCTGGCGAGATGGAATTGATCTTGGAAAAGCTGAKAGCTCGGCTCGGAGGGATTGTACACACTATCTGTCTGATTGGATTCGCCACATTGGATGTACCAACGGACATTAAGGCAGATGGAAAATTGTTATTGTCTGCCTGACTGTAAACATTTACTCTGTTCCGAACAGTGGTGTGCCATCAAGGCCAGCAAAGCCTTCACTGCTGGCCTAAACACAACCAGAATCACTAATATTTTATATTTATTATAACAGTTATTAATATTATTATTAGGATATTATTATTTTTGAAATATCAGTTCTCTTTGTTTCATAGTTTTTCTCCTGGCTGTGCAGCTTCCAGCAGCTTGTATTTATTTTAGAGATTTTATCCAATCACATTTCGATCATCATCTGTTGCTAGGGGTCCACAAATCTGCCTCAGGCCTTCAGAACAAACAGCGAAGGCACCGGGATGGTGAAACGCATGGCAGCGTCACTGTTGCTTTGACCAATCAGGTGCTGAGGTGAAGACACCAGAGCCTGCTAGCTGGCCTCGGGCAGCGTCAACATTTTCTCATYGTTTCATTGGCTGATMAGAGAGCAGGAGTCAGAACCAGGAAACTAGATTTCTGTAGCTTCTTACAAGCTAAATGCCAAGCGGACATTCTCAGCGTTACAGGAAATTAAAACGTATAACAAAAATACAGAACAGACTGGACTTTCAGTGTTAGCTTCATGGTGGYGATAGAAAAGGACTTAATGTTGAAACGAAACCCCATGAGGACCTGTATGACAGAGGAGCTGGATTTATCTTGAGGAACAAAAGGAGGAAGGAGTTTTTAAATGGCTAATAAAAAGTTTYGGTGAGTAAAATATATGTTATTTAAATGTTTTATTAAGTTATCAGCTTATTATATAACCACATTGATGCTGTTAATATGTGGCACAGATGTGGCTGCAGCTGAGAAAACTTGTTAAATGTGTTGTTTCAGTGATGAGTTTCATTCTGACTTCTTGAGACACCTGTCTGTGGTGCAGAGACACCTGTTTGTGGTGCAGCAGAGACATCTGTCTGTGTTGCAGCTGAGACACCTGTCTGTGGTGCAGAGACACCTGTCTGTGGTGCAGCAGAGACACCTGTCTGTGGTGGTGCAGAGACACCTGTCTGTGGTGCAGCAGAGACATCTGTCTGTGGTGGTGCAGAGACATCTGTCTGTGGTGCAGCAGAGACACCTGTCTGTGGTGCAGAGACACCTGTCTGTGGTGCAGCAGAGACACCTGTCTGTGGTGCAGCAGAGACACCTGTCTGTGGCGCAGCAGAGACACCTGTCTG